CACTGTTTGCCAGTTGTTTCGTCGATTTTTCTGACGGATTTTTTATATTCCTTGGTGCCGGAAGACTCATTAATAAGCCTTATCTAAGAAAACGTACACTTTCTACTACCCATGAATATCTCTATTCATTTGTCTGTAGAAAGATGCCTCAGTTTTTCCTGTATACTAGTATGTGTCGGTGGTATGGCAGTAAAATGCTCGCCAACCACGTCACACGTTGTTCGTGATTCGATCTCCGGTCGACTCACTCCTTTACCTCACTAAGTCAGTTATACGACTGTTAAAGAGGCAAGAGTGGGTGGGAATGAGGCTGACAACTCCATCCCGTCGAAATAATAAAACAGCACTGCTACTGAAACTTCAAAGCTCTAGCTTGAAGCCCTCTATGTTCCATTGGCCCTATTCAGGCAGTCAACGTGAGGTTCTAGTGGGAAGCCGTGACCAGTAGGTTACAGCAGGTTGAAGATGAGGCAGTAACTCATCGAAGAAGACATTGCGAAATGGTTGCGCCATATCGTAAATTGGCATGAGTTAGAATTCATGGACTAGTCCTTGGATCGGGTCCCAGGGGCTCGCCTTGTAACCAGAAAGTTCTGGGTGCGAACCCCGTTGGGTGCGTACTGATGAAGAGTCCCAAACTAGGACGAAACAGCTGTCCAGTACTCTCAGATTTTCCAGTCGTACTCTAACTGATGTCAGCTCATGATTAAATCCTCCATGCAATCGAATAGAAAAAAGTATAAAATCAGTCTTTATGTACATATTGAGCTAAAGGTATGGCCGTCTTTTTCCTTCCTTAAAACTTTATTAGAAAGTCGATTACTTACGCCAAAAACACAAATAAAGAAACTAAAAAGAGAAAATTAACCTAAAAAATCCCTATTTCTTCCCCCCTCTCTCTCTCTTTCACTATCTGCAAACCAAAACACATCTTTTTTAATACCATGTGAATAGTGTTAAGGTTGATTATTCAGGTCAAATTTAGCCTGATTTTTGCCTAAAGTGCGAACTTATAGAGAAATCCCATAGATGGGACTTGTCATTTTCAATGAATTCAGACTGAATTCGACGTGTCGGAATGAATTCTCAAAGCTAATGGTCAAACACTAAATGTGTATTAATTTTGAGATTATGATAAAAAGCATTTGCTTTTTAAACAAAGGTACAAACTTGTCAAGATGTTAAGAGTAATTTGGATGTCATCAAAAAAACTCTGATAGCATTTGAAGAACAGTTTATAGCCTGTGACGATTGTTCAAGTATTCAGTCATAAAACCTTCAACACTTAGGTTTATTTATTTATTTGTTTTTACATGTTCCCAGTGGAACATAGGGCTTCAAGGTAAAGTCTTGAGCTTTCTGTAGCAGTGTAATTTTTACAGGATGGGGCTGCTAGCCTCGTGCCTAGCCTTTCCTCTTTACCAGGTTTAATACTGGTATAGCGAGGTAAAGAAGTGAGCCAGCCGAGGGTCATATCCCGGACCATGTGCATGGTCGGCGAGCGTTCTAACCGCTGTGCCACCGACGCACTATAGCTCTATAGTTCGTTGAAATTTTTTGTTCTGTTGTGGCGTGTGCTGCTGATAAGATTTATAAGTAGTTTACAGGCACAGATGACTAGAAAGTGGCCAAAAACTGAAACCAACAGTTTAAGTCGATGATTTCAGAGGCAGGAGTGTTTAGATTACGTTGTGGCAATGGAATAAGCTTATTGGACGACACGTTTAACCTTGAGCCAATTGGAACACTCTTTTCTCCTCTGACCTTGCTAAACCGTAGTGTGGTTAAGAACATATAAATATAATGTTTTTCCTTCATAATAAAGGTCCACAAGGAAATCTCTTGTCTTCTCCCATTGCATTACAACTTTATTGAGAACCAGATTTTCGCTCAGGCGTTTTTGTTCGATTGCTTCTATTGCCTATATCTTCATTATGTGCAGGGGAATAGCTCGCAGTGGTAGCGTCTCTGACTCTGTGGCTTATTTTCAAATCTCTCTCAGTTTTTAGAAGCATGTTGTCGAGCTGTACCGATAAACAGAAAACCTTGGTACATGGTCTACTGCCAACTGCATCCAACCACGTAATATCGATTCATAGTGCATCGAAACAGCTTGGTGACGACAATACAAACTGTGTGCGTCGGCGGTACAGTGGTTAGGACTCTCGCCGACCATGCACATGGTCCGAGGTTCGATCCCCTGCCTACCCACACCTGATATCTATAGTCAGCCTGGAAAATTTGGGCTACCGATATCCATGCTGAAAATTCCATACTTGTACCAAAAATAAAGTGTGGAATCAAGCTGTAAATAAAAAATAAAAAAAATGAATATGTAACGGGAGAAGATAAGGGACTTGGTTGTGGACCTTTATTATGAAGGAGAAACACATCATATTTATACATTCCTAGCCATATTAAAGTTTAGCTAGGTGAGAGGAGAAAAGAATTTTCTGATTGATTGACAATTGGCTCAAGGTTAAACAAGTCATCTAATGAGCTTAGCCTATCGCCACAATGTAATCTAAATCCAGATTTGAGGAATGAACACTTCTACCTCTGCAGTCATTGACTCGAAATGTTGATTTCAATTTTCGGCCACTCCATAGACAGATGGCATTGGTTACCTCCTAGTGACTAATCAATGCAAACAATCGGCTTTTCTACCTCAGAAAAGAAACTACTGCAAAGATGAAATCAACAAGGAAAAACACTTCAATAGCAAAACAATGATAAAAACAAAGGTAGACTGGATACGCAGATTCATAAATAATAATAAACCATTTCCAGTGAGACAGAAATCCCATCGCTTTGACAAGTGAGACTTTATCAGAATAAATTTTACCCATAATGGAATTATACGCTACCACAGTGCACAAGTTTCATTCTTATATCAAGTGATTCTGTCATTTGGTGTCAAGTTCACCAACATGATCCAAACTTTAGTCTGTTTTATAGTTTACTGGTGTATTCGAAACCATATAACTTAAGTGACAAAAAATATTGACTCGGTGATCCAAATCAAACAAAAAGTTAGTGTAACTTCTCGTTTTTGATAAGGTTCAGTAATATATATTCCTGGCTTAATAAACTAGCGTTTAAAGCGCCCACTCCTAATATACTCCGTGTGATTTCGAAGCGAGTGCATAATGCAATCAACACAGTTATATGATTAAAAAACTACTGCGAGTACAATTTTTAGACACTCTGTAATTTCTCACTTCATTCTGGAATCAGCAATTTGAAGCAAAGTTTGTTAGAAATCAAAAAGAAAGGGAGAATAATAAATGTCTGTTAACTGTGGTGAAGTGGGAACTGCCATTGAACAGAAGTATGAAATGGAAGTCAAATCTCAACCTCAGCTTCATTCACTTTGAAAAGGCCTTCGGCAACGTTAACTGTGAGATAATTTGGAAACTGCTTCAACACTATGTAGGGAAGTTCTACAAATCTTTATCAACCTCATTCAACTGATATATGATGGATGCCATATGTCAAATGATCGTCAACAGAAAAATCAGCGAAGTCTTTGAAGTGAATACACAAGCAAGACAAGGCTGACCACTATCACGCATCATATTCCTATTTCTGGTGAACTGGATTACACTTCCAACTTTGTGTGGGAGCCAGAAGACAGAAATGCGTTGAATCGATAAGGAGACTCTAGAAGATCTGCAATTCGCGAATTATTGCACACTCGAAGAATTACAGAAGAAAGTGAAAAAATTGTCAGAAGAGGAGAGACAGTAAAGACGGGACTTCAAGTGAACATAGTGAAAACGAAGGTGACGAATATAGACATACAACAACAACAACAACAAGCACCAATCACTACCAACGGGAGAAATCTGAAAGGCACCACCCACTTCACTTGTATGCACTGAATCGCTTCGACTACAGACAGTTGACACTGATGAGGATGTCAAAAACCAACCAGAATCAGAGAGGCAATAGACACCTACATCACTCTGAAATCAATTTGGAAATCTTCTGCACTCCATAACATAAACAACGAAATTCGGATTTCCAACACCAATGTGGCGTCAGTCACTTCATCTTTATGGATCAGACACTCGGCACGTTTCGCGAAAAGCATTTCCAACAGGCTGCTGCAAACTTTTATCAACAATTGCCTTCGCCTACTCCATACTGAGGATCAGGTGGCAGGTCGGAAATAATTAGCAAGATGGAACTCTAGGAAGGAACCAACCAACAGCCCATCGATTAACAAATATGTAGATGAAAATGAAGATGGATCGGATTTACGCTGATAAGATCGTCGAGTGTAGGCGACGAGTTGGCCTGCGGTCGAACGATGAGATGGAGTTGATTGAGTGAAGAAGAAATGAAGGCTTATGGGTAGTCGTGGGACCAGATGATGACAACTGCAGAGAACAGGAGAGAATGGAGGTGGTTTATTGAAGCCCTATGTCCCTGTCGGGGGGAATAACAAATAAAGTAAAATGAGATTTAGTACCATACCAGTTAAGGCAATCATTTTCTAATCCAACTATAATCTCAAAACTTATCATAAGTAAATGCGAACAATTCGTCGGGGAATCATAAGATTAATCTATACTCACCTGAACCATTTTAATTATTTTATGATGAGAAGGATATTTTAAGTATCGATATTCGACTGTCCTCAGTCAAATAATGAAAGATTCAAACTTTTAGTAGGTATGAAGTAGTATCAACATTTGTCTGGGGTGACTAAACGATGTATTTGCAACACTAATCGTTTCCTTCACAGCCAATTAGTCCACTTATTGCATTCGGCGATGGTTTGTGTAAGTTCAAATCTTCGCGAATTCATCGGTTTCTTTAAGTTTTCTGATACACTTTGTTGACGTATGCCAAAATTGTCTTAAGCAGAACTTTGTGCCTATTGATATCCGGCATTCATTATACACTATTATCATCACAGTCATCAGAATAATAGTGATGCCTATGCGATAATGTTATTTCTACTGATCTATCTTTTTTTTCCCATGTTTCAGCTACTACTTATCGGCGACTCATGTGTAGGCAAGACATCCTTGCTGATTCGTTTCAAAGATGGTATCTTCCTGAAGGGCAGTTACATTTCTACCGTTGGTATTGATTATAAGGTGAGGTAAAATATTCCTCCCAATATAAAATTATAATAATAATAATAATAACAGTATTGCATTTTATTGACCTTCTACGACGCGTAGGTTTTAGCCATGCAGTAATAATACCAGTTGTAGTACGTCAATTAGCTTTAATATTTCCCAGTCTTTACCATCAATAAAGGTCTTGATCTTGTATAGATCACTCTTTTATAGAGATCTCTTCTCACTGCCTCCTAGTGTTAAAAAAAAACAATTATCGCTGACAGTTACTTGTTACAATAATGGATCCTACTTCATCTTGCATCGCTGTAGATGGGGGGTGAGTGGGTGAATTGAGGCTAGTTTTCACACTCTACCTAGCAGAGAATAGAATATAGGACTTTTTGGCGAGAAAATGTCACCATTGATATCTATCGAGTTTAGAGATTCGTGTCACCTTTTATCACCAGCCAGGTGTGTTATTGTTATTGAGTTTTATTTTATTTATTTTTTTTTGTTGCTGACTTGTATTTGGTCAGTTAGTGCAGAATTTTCTGCAGACAGAAAAGCCCTGAATAGATATGAAATCTGTCAAACATACGATTTGAATACTCACATTGATCTCTGCGTAGATGACAGTGTTTATGCTTGTCTGATTTTCGATTTTACAAAATTGACATATTCAGATTTTTATGGATTGAAATATATATTAGAGAGTTTTTTTTTCCTGTCATACAATGCGACCCTAGTGTGTGTCTGTACCAGCAATATTTTCAATCGTGATATTCTCATATGGAAAATTTATTTTTTCTGTAGCAAAATAAATCTGAACACGTTGACTAGCACTATTGACTTTTGAATAAATAAAAAGGGAAGGAAACAGGAGAAATACTGTATGACCTACTGGAATTCTGAAACAATTCAATTACTGCAGTATGATTCAGATCTCATTCAGATCTAACAAACTAATAGAAAATGAACTTAATCCCACGGAAATCTGATAACAACTTGACTATTCTTCCTGGATTATTTCATTGGGCTCGGATCAGAGTCCTCAAATGTGTGATCAACTTCAGCTACCTTGTATTTTTTTGATACAGGTAGCCTAAGATACTATGACTGCTTTTTGAGATTGACTTTGTATTGTCAGGCTGTGTTCGATAGGCTTCGATAAGGGCAAAGGATACACCGACCTAAGTAGTTATAATCCGATGACTGGTATATTTTGAAAATATCCAGTTCTGTCGGGTGTCTGTCAGCTGTGGCAGAGTTTCAGTTGTTTGATATGGATGTGGATATTGATTTCCGCTGTAAATTCAACCTTATGCTAACTGACTAACCTGTGCAGCAACAGTGGTGAACTTTCGCTTATGTGCTTCAATTACTTAAAGAATAGAACCTGGGAATTGTATATTATTACTTATTATTATTACCTTGGGTTTCGAGTGGAACATAGGACTTCAGCAGCACGTCTCCACCATGTCCTATTCTCTGCTGCCCTCTTTAGCTAGTCTCACGATTGACCACGATCTCCTCCATGTCACCCTGTGACAACCAGCTGGTCGCTTCGCATTGCGGCTCCACTCGAGGGCCTGGAGCGCGATATCTTTCGGTGGCCTCCTCAATGTATGTCCTAACAATCTACATTTTCTCCCAAATGCCTGTTGAGTAATGGGCTCTTAGTTGGATTGTTCCTAGCCAGAGTTTCTTGTTGCTAATTCTTCCCGGCCAGCCGACCATTTGATCTTCGGTATGCAGCCAGCCAGCGAAGGTAGCAGCTGTTGATGAAAGTTTACAGTGGCATGTTGGGAATCCTTTTCATGACACACAGTGCAAGTTTCTCACTCATATAGAAGAACTAACTGACTGACTTCACATTTTTGCTCAGAATCCGAATCTTGTGGTTGATGCTGGCTGAGTAAAGCAGAAAATTTCCGAACTGGTTTCAGGTCGACAAAGACGTATCATTCCACTATTATAAACAAATTAATTCTCATACAGTTCTTCACATTAATAAACTTGAACAAAGCAGTGATGACAAACGTGCCAAAATAGTATGACCTCACCTTTTATTATTTCGAGAATTCTTCTCAACTAGCTACGACCTCCTGAACAAAACAACGAATATAAACTACAATTTAATTGGTGGATGGTGACTACCAGTGAAATCCATGATGTGCACCTCGTCCTATTTCAAACTCGCTGGTTGAATGTACCTGCAATCCCCAGTGAGTGATGGTGTCCCCACCGAGGCTCGAACCCAGGTACCCATAGTTTCAAACGCCAAAGCGTCATCCACTAGACCACTTGGGCCACGAGAGCCACATCTTGTTCAACGGGTCATATTAATTGTTGAATTCAATTTTAGATTTTCCCGTCGACTGACTGGACCGAAGTGCTCTATCTCAGGTTGACATATTGGCTTCTCGTGGAGATGCTTCGACAATGTCTGGGCATGTATTTAGAATTTAATTGGTGGATGGTGACTAGCAGTAGAGTCCAGGATGCTCTCGTGGCCCAAGTGGTCTAGTGGATAATGCTTTGGCGTTTGGCGGAATGCAGCCGCATTCCTATGACGAGTCCGAAATAGGACGAAGTGCGCATCCTGGATTCCACTGGTAGTCAGCATCCACCAATTCACTTCGAAATGATAATCAGTTTTCATGACAGAATAAGCAGATCAATATGAACTAGAAAGGAAACAGTGATATATATTGTTACTTGATTATATAATTACTCATATCCTTCTTCTACACAAACTGTGCTTACACCTCATGTCTGGTGTTTTTTTCTTTCTTCTCCCCAAAATTCTCCAATGTTTTTCTAATTAGATAAAAACAATAAAGACGAATGATCAATTAGTTCGCCTGCAGATATGGGATACAGCTGGACAAGAGAAATTTCGCAGTTTAACAAAATCGTATTATCGAGATACAAGTGGTAGGTTATTATCTTTCACTGATACTTAGCGTAACTCCTTTTTCTCCTTTTCTTCTTCCCCTCCTTCTTCTTAATTTAGCTGTTCTACTTGTTTATGATATGTGTAAAAAGGATTCGTTCATTCACATCAAGGTGAGTTGATTGATGCCTAATTTTTTCATGTATAATAGTAAAATGACTACTGTGTGTGAGTGTGTTTGTCTGTCTGTGTGTGTGTGTGTGTGTTAAGTATTTAGCTGTCATTTCTCCATAAAACTATGTACTACTGATTGATTGTGATGAGTAGCCGCATACGACTCCTACCATTCAACCTACTAATGCTTGCTAGACAGATCAAAGGTAATCTAAAACACCGGATGGCTGTTTCTCTCGTTTGAGGGTGTATATATACTTGCTTTCTTGATTACCATTTATGGTGATTTCAGCACTCGAACTGTGTACACTGCAAATTATGAATTCAATTTATGTTACTCCTCCAACATGTAATATGCTTATTCATGTCTTCTGTCCTATGGCAACACTTTCACTGTACCACTGAGTATAGGCTGGATAGGTATTTTCAACTGTAGAGATTACAGTTCCCCTTCTGAAATTTATGGTCAACTTGAACTATTGGCAATTCTAGAACAAACTAGGTGATATTTTCATTTTATTTTCCTTGAATAGTGGACTCGAGATGATAAGCAAATAATCTTTGTGTCAGCTGAGTACTCTTCAGACAGTTGTTCAGGTGTTTACGCTACAGAAGGCATTCAAGTGGAAAATAGTTCAGTATTCGTGTCTTCTTCATTGTTCTTCCTATAAAGAAATTACGTTTTCTAGAGTATTAGTGGTAAGGTTTACGACCATTAAAGATACGAAATTAATAAGCTACGTTTATGGTAGGATAAAGAGACTACTGCTGACGAAAATGCTCGAATCCTCTATTTATTCTGCAAAGGTATATCTTACAGTCTTTCCAGGGTTGGAACAACACTTTGAATAGTACGTTATGTCTGAGCAGGCAGGAATACACTGAACCGATATGCAGACTCTAGAAGATCTTGATTTCGCTAATGATTTATTTTTAATGTCACACAAACTCAAACACTTACAAGCGAAAGCCAACAAACCGGCTGAAGCGGCGGCCGGCGAAGACAAGACTCCATGAGCACACAAAGAAGACAGAGTTGATGAAGATAACCGACCACCAACAGAGATAACAACCAGTCACCGTCAACGCGGGAGATTTGAAAGAGGTTATCTTCTTCACTTATCTGGTTAAGAAGCATTATTTCAACCATGGGCAGCTGGAACGGATAAAGATAACAAAACAAACCAGCCAGAATCGGAAAGGCAATGCAGGTCTTCATCAGCCTGAAACCAGTGTGGAAAGCTCCTGCACTCCGCCTCAGCATGAAGTACAAGATTCGGATTTACAGTACAAACGTGAAGTCAGTCAATTCTTCTATACGGGTCAGAAACTTGTACTGAGTATTACAAAAAGTATTTCCAACTGATCACGGCAGCCTTTTGTCAACAGCTACCACCTTCGCTGGCTGGTTGGATTCATACTGAAAATCAAATGGCCGGTCGGTCGACCAGAAGGAATTAGCAGGAAGAAACTCTGGCTGGGAACAAACCAAACAAGAGCCGATTGCTCAACAAATATGTAGGATAAAATGGAGATGGACCGGGCATAAGTCGAGGAGGCCGTCGAATGACATCTCGTGCAGTGAAGTCCATCACTTGAGTGGAATCCCAATCAGAAGCGATGATTGGATCGTCCGTGTGAGGGTGACATGAAGGAGATCGTATGAGTTAGAGGAGGAGATCAGAGATTATGGGCAGTCGTGGACCCTGCTGTCGAGAACAGCATCAAATAGAGGAAACTGGAGATGTTTTTTTGAAGCTCTATGTTCCACTAGGAACTCAAGGGGACAATAAGAATAGTAATAAGTGAGAGTATTGCTGCCAGAGTGGACAATGATTGTATTATTTAGGTACTGCCAGAGATACTGAAGGGTCAGAAATATTTCATCTTTGTGTCTATAGGATTGTCTGTGAAGTAATCTTCAAAGGCATCTTCAATAGTGCTTTCATGTTCAATAGTGAGTTTTAGCCAAGTTTTTAGTATGATTCAAAGGAGAGTATTCACCTCTAATTGCATCTCATCATCTGTTAACAACACAGTGGCTGTAGTTCCTTCTTTCTGTCAAATTTACAATAGCAGACCACTGGTTTACAAGTCTGCAATCTCATTGTAAACAAGTCTCTTCTGTAACAGACAGGTATTTGTCCAAAGTACATCTATTACACCAATTTTCCAGGCATTTTTGTGCTAATCTCAACTGTTTAGAAACAGACGGAAAGAAAATTGTGGTATTATATTTTTCTTCAGAAAATTGTGTTTATCTGTTCATTTTTTTGCTCAGCTGTCACCATTACTCCACTTATATAATCTAAAAACGAAGCGGCAACATACGCCATAAGGGGTGATGGAAAGACAACAGCACTACCCTGTTTTGATTAGTTTGTCAGTTCTTTGCAAAATTTTTGTTGTTGTTGAGGTAAACTAGTGCGAGTATAAGAGTGCAGGGGCCGGGAGACGCGCGGAGATAAACAGATAAATATTTCATAGGAATAATTAAATCGCTTACTACTACTACTGCTATTTTTGACAAGTTAACTAGTTGTCGACTTTAATTTATTGCTTGTCGGTTAGTCTCTTGTCAAATGAAGTTCGCGGTATCCTGTTGGTGACCGACGTCATTGACAGTCTGCTCTGTATTTACAGTGTAAATTCAGTTTAGCGTCTATCCTCCAGCTATGTTTAAAACAGGGTTAAAATGAGCCTATATAAAGTGGCATTTCATGTGACAACTGAAGTAGAATAATTCTTCTTATCTGTATTGACTGATACAAAAAAAAACAAACAAAACAATGCATAGCTGAAAAATCTAGGTTAAATCCCTTTATCTTCACAGTCCTGTTGTGTATTGATTGTAATTTTTTACGATTGCATGTGGTCTGGATTGTCTTACAATGACTGTCAATTCTATGCTTACAGGCGGCATAGATGGTCTAATCTTTCAGGGAACTCATTTATTTCTCTTTTTCTATGAAATATTAAGAGAGAAATATACCGTTGACAATGTCGTTAAGTGTTTCTAAACCCTTGATTTTGTAAAAAAGAAAAGAGTCGGATTGTTTCGGCTAGACCTCCGATTCCTGACGTTCAGTGGACTCTATCGTATGACGTTGTATTCACTTGACTGACCTGTGAAGTTAGATCAAGCATTTATTATTATACCTGTATAAAGCTGACATATAGGTACACTGTGCAGACTTGCTACTGGGTATCACTGAATTTCATCAACTCCTTTGAGGTTTATGTCTGAGTAGTGGGCCACCTTTTTTGTTTTAAAAAATGAACTAGCATTATGCCTTCTTTCTTTCCCTCTGGTATGAAATTTTTTACTTGGTAGTTGGCACGTATTCAATTTTGTTCTTTATTTTTTTCATTTAGCGAGAATTTTATGCTACTTTTTTGTGACCAAATCAACTGTCCATTCTGTTTGTTATTCAGCAGAATTCTTTTTACTGAGTGTATTTGTGTCATGAAACTGTTTGTAAACCCTCTGAATTTTTACTAATCTAATTTATATATATATATATATATGTTATTACCATTATTATTTATGATTATTATCTGGGATAACTTGGTGAGACTAGTTTACTCTCGGAATAATTTAATAATACCCGATTGGTAACGAATATGAAAAATTCACAAAAACAATTCTTTAGGTAAATCAGCGGTTTCGTCTGACTGATGTCAGCTCATGATGAAATCCTCTAACCAGTCAAACACAATCCCGAAAAAACTGATACTTGAAAGAAAAAAGAAACCAGTTTTTGTCTGAGATGAATGATTTTTACTTTTCTGGAATTATTGTTATGATTATTGTTCCCGTAGGTTCTCAATAGGACATAAGGCTTCAATAGCAGATTTCCAATTCATCCTGTTATTTGCAGTCATTTTTCAACTGGCCCCATGACTGCCTGTAAGCTGCCATGTCCTCGTTACACAATGCCACCCTTGCACTGCCAACTCGTTGTTTTTCATTCAGGTTTCACTCAACTGTCTCCTCAGCGTGTGTTCTACCCGTTACTATTCTCCTTGGGATATTTGTTGGGAGATGGGGTTCTTGCTAGAGGTTCGTTGCCACAGTTTCCTCTTGCTAATTACTTCCGCCAGCCATATGGAGCCAGCGAAGACAGTGGTGTCCGACAGGGATGTCCACTTTCCCCATTTCTGTTTAACTTCATCATAGATATGCTAATGGAAGTATCCTTAACTGAACGTAGTGACTTAGGAATCGACTTGTTACCAGGGAATAATCTAATGGACTTAGAATATGCAGATGACATAGTCCTGTTAGGGGAGGATGCTGAAAAAATGCAGAGTCTTCTGAACGCCTTGAGCAGCAATCTTCGTATGTTTGGCATGCGATTCGCCCCTACAAAATGTAAGATGCTGCTACAGGACTGGACCCCGTCAACCCCTAACTTAGTGATAGGGAGTGAAGTGATAGAACATGTTGACCACTTCACCTATTTGGGAAGTTGTATTAGCACCAACAGACTGATTGGCGACGAAATCTCAGCACGGATCCGAAAAGCTCGAGCTACTTTCGCTGACTTACACCATCTCTGGCGTAGGCGTGACATCCGGTTATCAACCAAGGGACGTGTGTACTGCTCAGGAGTTCGCTCCGTCCTTCTCTGTGGCTCTGAAACATGGCCAATACACGTTGAAGACATGAAAAGGTTGACTGCTTTTGATCATAGATGTCTGCGATCTCTGTCTCACGTTAGGTGGTTTCACAAGATAAGTAATGTTGACGTTAGGCGTAGAGTGTTGGGCAAAGAGGGAAAATCAATCGACGAGGCTATAAAGTTACATAGATTGAGATGGCTAGGTCACGTGCTGCGCATGCCTAACCACCGCCTCCCCCGACGGGCTTTGCTAGCTGATATAGGTTCAGGTTGGAAAAGAGCCAGTGGTGGCCAAACAAAAACATGGCATCAATCCATGAAATCCTTGACAGTTAAACTGAGTCAGGTAGGGAGATGCAGACTTCCGGGTTGGG